AATGCCGAAAAGACTCTTTGCTGATACATACACAACATACGTAGCACCAAACCGTGTCTTTCGCGGGCAAGTATGAAATCCATGGTCACGTATCAAAGTACTTTGCATTGAATGACCTGCCCCCTTTTCTAGGGAAATTGTATTTTTGCGACTGATACTTTCACATGCACAGGTTTTCATGTAATCTTGTCCGCAGGGGCCACCGATAATACCGTTGAAATTTCCATTCCTGAATTTTCTTCATATTTTGCTGTCTTTGGTTTCGTAATGAGATAAAAAAAGCGTTCCAGTTTGAGTACTTCCCTTCCGTGACATAGCACTGAACCATTCACTGTTCTGCCATTAAATTGTTTCAAGCCACACTTATGACAGAATGGGACTGACTCCAGAACCTCCCTTCTTTTCCAGGAAAAGATTTTAAAGGGAGAAGTCTAATCGAATGGGAAATATTGGACCTGAGACAAAAAAGAACTCCTACTGGGGGCCTATCAAATGTGCCCTACCACGCCAATCCCCCTCAGGCTTGCTTGCTTCAAGCTAAATTTGCTTTTCAAACTTCTGAATGCCACGAAGGATCTTAAGTCGCAACTTGCCAGTGTACCCATTACTCTTAGTAAATGTGGGGAGGGGGGCGAAAGATACCCTTTGCCCCCGCCCCCGCCCCCCCCCCCCCCCCCCCATCTGGAAACGTGAGGGAGCATTTGCCACCCACCCCATGCCCCCCTCCCGATTCCTACGTCCTTGGTGACTGGGCTGTATTGTCACTCATATCGGAATCGAATACTGGGCGATTCGTGCAAGGCCCACTTTCTTCGTTTGTGGACGAATTACGAAAAAAGAAATCGGGGCCCAAATCGGAATCTAGCACGCCGTCCTTCGAACTTTTATATTTTTTTGTTCATCCGAGGAAGTCCGCGGAGCATGAAACGAACACGGTTATAACGGTACGCTGCGTCTGTCCCACTGAATTTCACAAATGGGCTCCTCCAGGCTTTTTCCGTCCTCTCTCTTAAGGCGTTCCTTTCTTGAGTTCCTCCTTCTGCTTTTCTTGTAAAGAATGACTCATCATGGTTACATCGAAGGTCATCTGCTCCTGGCTGGCAGCTGTTATTCTCTCCCTTTTTTTCCCCCCTTCTTTAAACATGGGGAATGCGTAAGTGGGAGAGTGACCGGGTTGAAGGATGCTATCCACGGGATGTCATTTGAAGGATCACGCCCAAGGCTTTGTTTTCAACAGGGAAAAAAGGGAGAATATATCTCATACGTGAACGACAGGATGTTTGTGTCCCTCCACCCTCATAATAATCCACGTGATGTGAAGATGAAGGTCGGGGTACCTTCCCCTTTTGGTACTGGGAGAACCGGCCGATCATGAGCATAATTCCCTTTACATGTCCTCTCTCAACATGTTTCACAATCTTGTTCCAAAATGAGGTTTTCTTGTGACGCAAGTTCGACAAGATTTTGCATAGATGCATAGTAATTGATGTTCCAGCTGCAGGCGATCCTTCACTTGCACGAGGACCGGTTCTTTACGTTCTCTTTCGTGGAAATTCCATCAAGAGAGAGGACTCGATTCTCATACGCTTCACGATCGACTTATCCCGGTCAAGAAAGGGTTTCGTGAGAAACCTCAGGATCTTCCTCCCTCACATAACCTGGTCGACATACAGGAACGGTTCGATTCAACCAAAAAAAATAAAGGAGGGAGAAAGTACAGGGAGAAATTAATTGCCTCCCACTTCCTCTCGAGTGCACACCTTCTCTGAGCACAGTCTCCCGTGCTGGCTCTTATAGGAAAGGACTACAACAGTGAAGAAGTTCTGTTCTTCCGGTTTATTAAGAGGCAGAAAGAGTAGAGCATGTCTTTCGTAACCAAGGATAATGGGTCGTGTCCCGTTACTCCCTAACCTCCATGTCTGACTTGGTACTGTTATTCACTAGGACCCGTCTGTGTAGGTGACTGTCTGGCCCTGGAACTCCTGCAAGTATGACTTGTGTTAGGTATTAGGAGAACCTGAAAATAATCACATCTGTCGAAGGTCTGCGCAATTAAAGGGCACAACACTGTAAGGGGAAGGGGAATGGAATGATGAAATCTTTCGTGGTTTCCCCTCCCTCGCAAATTCCCATCACATGACGAAACGCCAGGTTTGGCCCCAAGATGAAACCCTCACTTTGCTTTACCGATACAAGGACACGATAAATCATTCCCTTGAATGTGTATGTGCGCGGAAGATGAAATCAAGAACAGTGAAGTGCAAGGATATGACTCTGGCATTTTCAAATTCCGCTTCACTGATCGAGGGGAACGAGAGGAGTAAGCAAAAAGCCCCCAGAAGCGTTACACGCGTGTCGAGGATTCCTTGTCGCAGTAAACGCTGTTGTATTTAGTATGAAAGCTTGCGAATTGAAGGATGTTGCGAAATGTTCCACCACGGTAGACCTTTTCAGGTTTCGCTTGATTACCAGGGACGAATGGCGCTGACATGGTACAGCCTGTCCTTTGTCATGGAAGGAGGGAGAGAGAGAGCGAGCGAAAAAAAAGGGAACCTTGGTCCATTTGCACCAGTTTGTAGTGCTGTGGTCGTGGCCCAGCTGCCTGTGCATCCAGGTACGATTTCGTAAGGTAAACGTGCAGACGTCCACCCATCCAGTCATGTTGCATCATCGAAGCTCCAGGGATTGACCGGTAGACGAAAGGAGACAATGTAAACCAGCGGTCGTTTTACACTTTATTACAGGATTGTCACGTCGTTGTCGTTTCCTTTTTCCCCTAAAAAAAAAAAGAAAGAAAAGGATCACATGGAGGCGGGCGCAGGAGGGAATATGTCTTTGGTACGAGTTGATCAAGGGTTCCCGGTTTCCTCGTGGAGTTTCTTGAATGGGGGATAAGAAAGGCTAAGGACGAGATTGCTTGCGCTCTGAGCAGCTGCATCCACGTATTGGATGGGATTCGGGAGATTCTTCACCTGCTGCTTGAAACCCGGCGGCCCGCCCTCCTTCGGGTCCGACGAGCGACGGAGACAGAACCTCAAAATTATTCCCGCCACTCCCAGGACCGAGAGGAATATCCCCAGTGCCACAAGAGGCTCCCAGCGGTTGATATCGGAGGAATCGGATCGCTTCACTCTGGAGCTGGGTGAGGAAATTCTGTCCCGGTCGTAGCAAGCATTATCGCCGCTCTGCCACACCTGTCCCTCGTTGCACATGCATCTCTTCCACTTGGGATCGCATCGAAGCCCCGAATCGATTCCGCCTTCGCAATCAGAATCCACCCGGCAAGGGATGTTGCTGAGGCCGTGGTGAAGACCTTCATCGAAGGTGTCCGAATCGAAGTCCTTTCTCACGCACCGAAAATTCCCTGGTTTCTCCTCCTTTCCTTGCGTCCCCTGGGGACAAGCACAATATCCCTTGATGCAGCGGAGATCCGGGCTCCACTTGTGGCAGAAACGGGAGTTTTTGCATTCGATTGGGGACAGCTGAACGGAGACTGGGATGTCCAACTGGGACCTTGCCTCTTGTACCGATATCACTAATCCCAGGAGTATCGTCACACGCGAAAACGTCGACGTGGCCATGCTTTTGGAAATATCACGCTGAGAAAACACTGAAAAACTCTCACATCCTGCCACACCTGTTGTGAGGAAAGAGTAAAACTGGAATTCACGTTGATTGATTTAAGTCCTCTTCAAGTAAGGAATCGATCGAAAGAGAAAGAGGCCAGACGCAGGCGGGATGCCTTTGAGGTGACCTTGCACAATCGAATCACAATAGAGATTGCGTAACCACGATCGGCTAGTCTCTTATCGAGACTATGGTAAACCTATAAACAACTTACGCGTTCTTGCCAAGACATATATCCCTTCAATGCTACGTTTAAAAAAAAATGTCTGCAGTACTAATGGCCCTTGGGCACTAAGGGAGAACCTCAAGGTTATAGCACAGAGCACGAGTACGTAAGCTCACATAAATCGCAGAGAATTACGTGTAGCTGTGATATAAGTTCAGGAAATCTCGTACCTGGGTAATGAGACTGCACTCACTCGTGGTCGTGGCACACCTCGACCGGCGGAAGCACTTTAAAGGTTACCCGCTAAAGTATCAAGGCCTAACCCACCGAGAGATTCTAAGCGAAGCCGCAGCGAACGACTGAGACGGGTAGGGACGTGGGACTGGCGAGGAGGGCAGGGCTGTGATGGTCGTGCACGCTAGGGAGGGGGACATGCAGCACGAGCACGGCATGAAGGAGGAGCCTCGGGCTTTAACACAAAAGAGGGACCCGGGCCCCAGCCGGATTACTCAATCCACCAACTCTGTGCCCGTGTGCGTTCCCCGAGATGAGGTTTGAGGGACTTTCACTAGTCAAGAGGACACTGACCAATGTCATCTGACGTAACGGGATGAGACCCCCCGTCACGACACCCGTCCGGGGCAACTGACCTCACCTCCGTAACCCCCGTTATTTCACTCTCCATCGCCATAGATCGATAGTCCGTTCAGCATCCTCCATGGTCCTGTACCGTTGTGTTCTGTATCTGATGGAGAAGGGGATGGGGAGAATCTTCGTATTTTCTTCTCAGTTTTCACTTTCGCTCGTAGAATCGGCTGGCATCGCATGATCCTGATGGATGGGGGAATTCGAAGCATGAGTGATGTCATCTTCACCATTCTCTTCCGTGCTTGTTAAGGGAAATTCATTCATGCCATGAGCGAGACAGATAATAAAAAAAGAGAAGAAAGGCTTCCTGCATTCATGTATAGGCGAGGAGGGAGGGGATAACAGAAATGTAATGTAGTCAATGGTGCGTGAATCCCTTCTCGCATTGCGTTGAACACTGGTCATCATAACGGACTTACTCGATCGTTTATCTGAGAATGGGTTGGGAAGTAAGAAACGTTTCATTAGTCTTGATTCCTGGGCTTGGTTCCATGGTTGATATAGTATAAGTCCTGCAGCATTTCCGGTCCAAGCCCATCTTTTCTTCCCCGTCTTGCAGAAGGTGTGGGCCTCTCCGAGTCGCCGTCGAATGGACACGAAAGGGGACACGGAGGAAGTGACTTATCCCAATATCTTCTTCATGGTCGACAATTTCGATGAGGTAACTCCTAAGTCTTAGTCCTGCAGACCAAATCTTATCCCCGTACCGCCTGTTCCATCTGCACCATGAAATTAACAAACAAAAAAAGAGTAAAAAGCCACTCTCTCTTGGGACTCATTACCACGCTTTCTCGTTGCTGATCACGTGATGTGATGTGCCGGCCAGGTGTTCGCGGACATCGAAGTGAGGGACGGAGAGATGGTGTGCGTGGAATTGATGGCAAGCGATCGAGATGGGAGTGGAGTTCGGGGTGTCACCTTCCTTGGGTCCATTCGATATGAGGCCCTCAAGAGGGTCTACGATGCACGGGTCTGTGTCCATCTTGTGAATTTGCAATTGGAATCGCGAAAGTGAAATTCAGTATTTATTTGAAATTGGCGTGATGCTTTCAAATGCAATGCAAAATTGAATCGGAATTGCTCAAAGGAGTATTCTCCAATTCCCATTCCTTCTCCAAGTCATGTGCTTGAGATGTTGACAAATCAATTAAAGCAAAGTACGTAATCATTTATTAAAGGCATCAGCTACTCAGTAAATGCAAGTGAAACGCGATTTCGATCATCACACTGTCAACCTTTTGTCGAAATATTTTCTGATCAGTAGCCCTATGTTTTCATGATCAACATGACGAACGCGACCAGGAAGTAGGGAGTATGATTTGGTTTCTTTGGGGCAAAGAGATAACTTAGGTTGGTTCGATATAAATTGTGGATATGCGGAATTGGTATGGAATGATTCCAATGGGAAATTGCTTGGAATCATGTCACCCTTGGTTTCATTTCCCTTTTCCACAAATAAAATAGAATTTCTAGAAATGCATACTCTTTTGTCAGGCAAGTGTTACGAGTAAGATGGCACATCGGATGACATTTGGCCTCTTCCCTGGGTCTCGGAGCCAAAGGATGGAGTTTATGCGAATGAAGGGACCTCAGGGGAAAGGACATGCAGAAATGGCCATCGGGAAAGTCATTGGTGAGTTCCCTCTCCGCACTAGCTGCTGCTGTGCGATTTCATGCGGAGACATGAGCGAGTGATCTCTTTCCCAGGCTCAGGAGTGGAGACTCCGTCTTCGGAGCCAGGGTTTTCCTTCACAGATTGTGTCGAATCTGAAGACGAGGACGAATACCCTCCTTTCAGACAAGTAGGAACACGAGGCTTACCATTCATAAACGAGGATCATTGAACGATTTTGAATGAATAAGTGTGTTTCTACGGTGATGTGCAGAGGAGGCTGAGTGACCCGAGTAGCAACCTGAACACATACATCCGACCCCTGCGTCATCGAGGATCCCCATTTTCATCTTCCTCGACTGGAACTGGGAAGTCTCGCAGTGAAAGCGAAGGTCTGGACGCCTATGCCAATGGACTGTGTGAGGTGGAAGCTGGAGATCCCAGGGATGGTGAGTGGGAAGGGGAGGGACCCCCTTACATCTTTTTTTCTTCATCACCCGATGCTTTTTTTTATTTTCGTTCTTCTGTTGTTTTTATTTTGGGGTAGATGTGTCTCCAAAGTCAGTTCAGCAATTCAAGGTTGCCAGGGATGGCACCATTGTGACTTTCCCCCCTCGGTTACCATCCAAGTCTACAGGTATTTGTTTCGTGTCTTTCCCCGATTTTCGGTCCCATACTTGAACAAAATAAAGCAGGTTCCTTCCCCCACATATTTCATTTCTTATCCATACCCGAATTTTCATTTATCGTTTTTAGTTCGTGTTTCTATTCTTTTTTTATTTTGAATAAATTGAGGAAAGAAGGAATGACTCGAAGAGGAATTTTACGCTTTCAGAGTTGGATGACACGGCATTCAATCCGCTGTGGACAATGCGAGGTGCAATGCAGTCGTTTCATTTTTGGAAGGAATCTCGAAGGCTTCAGTCCCTGCCATTGAATGCTTACCTCACATACATTACCCTCCCCTGGTATGCCATCATTCGAGGTCAGTGCCGAATCCTATCGCTTCACCGGCTACTTCCACCGTGAAATTCACTATATACTTTATTCGCAGACGTCCTGGATCATCGAGAGGAGCCGATTCTCACTTTCTGAGCTGGATGGGAATGACAGATTCCAGTGGCCAGGGATGAAGTCATGCCTCACCTGAATCTCTTGATCGTGATCGATTTGTGATTCTTTGATTCATTTGTCTTTCTTCGTATCAACTCACATTCCTTCACTAAAAACCCTGACTGAAGCTATTCATTCCCCATCGTAGTACAGGAGTTTAAAGTTACTACCTATGTGGTGTTCTCCCCCTCTTTATCAAATTCTGTATTTGCATCTGTGTTCCAGTTCTCTACCCCTTCTGCATCTTCGTGGACTGAAAAAATATTTCACTATTAGGCATCCCAAACTGCAACATATCAAGCATAGATATAAGGTGTTTTTTTATCGCCTCATCTACATTGTCCTGTCTGTCTTCAGTCTGATTGACACATACATGAGAACTCAGTCTCTTCTCCAGAGATCCGAATACTCATTTCCTGGCAGATACGGGATAGGTGACATGTCATTTCAAGACCGAAATATCCCACTCACAGACACGTGATTTTCTCTATATTGCATACACCAGATGAGGTAGTCTTGTATGAGCAACAGCATGGAAGTTTGCTCACGTTATTGAGAATGAGTCTAGCATGACTACTTCTCTATATTGGGAGGCCAGGCATTCAAGAGACAGGTCATTTAGACAGATGAAACTTGCTGAGAACCACAGGAGAAACTGTGGTTGTCTGTTCCCTAATTTTTAATTTGTTCTGGTCAAGGGGTTTGTTGCAGATGCTTCTCTTCTTCAGTGCATGCCTCTGGTTTATTTATCTTTGGCGTTCTTGACAGATTTAGTGCTGTCTGTATGCTTTCAAGTCAGAATCAAGTCATGTTAGAATCGTGCCTGATGGCTCTGGTGAATTCATGGATAAAAGGTGATTGCAATTGCATCCCTTAATGAAAAACTTTCAACGATTGCATCTCTGTGGTATGTTTTAGGGGTACTGGAAACTAATGTTTTTTGTAAACTAAATGTAAATGTTATTTATGGTGTGTTTTTGTTTGTTTTCAAATGAATTTAATTTATTAATCTAAAGAACCGTAATTTGTCATAAATTTTTTGACAAGAAACATTTATTCTTTCTTTCAGCAAAAATGTCTGACCATATTCCCAAAGAGATCCATATATGACATTGTTTGCTCTATGAGTTTTGTGAGGGAAGTAAAGCAATGGAGGCCACCAAAAACATTTGTGGTGTTTATGGAGATGTATTGGATGTCCACAAATGCCAGTGTTGGTTCAGTAAATTTCGGTCAGGCGATTTTATCTCTTGGATGGCCATCACTTGGGAAGACCGGTAGAGCTGGACAACGATCTCCTGAGGTCGGAGGTTGAGTCAGACCCCCATCAAATCATCCAAGAATTGGCAGAAAACTTAATTCTTCATGGTCTAGTGTTCAAGAACACCTTCAACAGATCAGGAAGGTTAACAGACTACGTGTTTGAGTTCCACACCAACTTTAAGCCGAAAACAAAGTTGGATAATTTGATGGGGGTCTGACTCAACCTCTGACTTCTGGAGATTGTTGTCCAACTCTACCATACATCTCCATAAACACCACAAATGTTTTTGGTGGCCTCCATTACCTTACTTCCCTCACGAAACTTATAGAACATACAACATCATATATGGATCTCTTTGGGAATGTGGTCAGACATTTTTGCTGAAAAAAAGAATAAATGTTTATAAAAAAATTCATGACAAATAATGGTTCTTTAGATTAATAAATTAAATTCATTTGAAGAAAAAAACGAAAACACACCATAAATAACATTCACATTTGGCTTACAAAAAACATTAGTTCCTAGTACTCCTAATATAAGGTGGGTAGATTTTCTTGTTTCAATTTATTTTTAGTATAATTTCTTTATGACAGGGCATTCTGATTTGTTGTGCCAGGTTTTATTGCACTGATGCCACAAATGATATTCACTACATGCTAGAACCATCAGATACCTAAGTATCCCCTACTAATAGAGGAAGGGATGATCAAAGGCATTTCAGTACTTTTTTTTTTCAAAATGATTTCTAATGACTATTCTTTAAATGCCATTTAGCCAATGCAGTTTACATTTAGGTTAGACTGTTGAGATGCTTAGCAAATGTAAGTATTCCAGTCCTATGTCTTTCATGCTTTCAGATGCATCAGCATGGGGAAAGTGGTCTGAGTTGTCAGTGATCATTCTCTGGTATTTTGGATGCTGTCATAAAGAAAATGCAATCTCAAAAGAGCCACAAGAATGTTTTTCTAATTTCTTCTGAAAATTTTAAGTGTACCTTTCCTTGCTCAATCAAAGCCACACAATCAAAGGTGCAGATAGTTTCATTAACATTTCTGCATGGGGTAGACTTTCACCAATGTGCAACGTTCAACTTGGGCTATTGATAGGATTTTTTGCAAGGCATTCTCCATTTGCACCTATGAAGTATGTGCCCATCAACTCTACAGTTTCATAATGGGAAGGAAAAGCATTGCAAGTAGGAATAAGAGTGACTCAAGGAAAGTGAATCCTTATGACAGCCAGTATTTTAGAGAATATGTTCTGATCTCTCATACCATCAATGATTTGGAATGAGTTTCAAGAGTTCACTCTATTCACATGTTCCATGGAGGAATGCAATTCCTTCTGGACACTTGAGGCATTAGTTTATAATGTTTCAAAGGAAAAATGAAAAGGTACAGAAGGGGCACACTAAAGGTTTTCCATCTTTCATGACCTCAGTATTCCCATTGCAGAGGAGTAAAAAGGGGAATTTATTTATTTTGAATTAGGGAGTCTCTTGTGTCTTCCATCCTCAGAGCTTGTACCTCCTAGAAAGCAGTATCAATGGCTCTACAATGGTTTAAATACATGGTCTTAATTGTAGTATTTGCAGGGTACTGGAGAGAAACAGGGTTTTTGCATACTGCATAACAGAGTTTCTCCATTTAAGGTGCCTGAATTATTGGATTCCTCCAGCAATCTTGCCCTCTTGTCACCATGTGGATGAAATATTAAAAATGTTAAGAAAATATAATGGCTCAAGAGTCATGGGATGGGCACCAATCACATTGACAAGTCAAGTCCCTATGTTAAGCTCAAATGCATTCATTTTTCAGTGAGTACATGAATGATCTGCTGCTTCTTTTCTTTCAAGATGCTCAAATGGGTTGGAGAAAATTTCTCGAGAGTGTCATCCTCAGTATCTCATGCTCTGATATGGTGTTCAGGTGGAATTTAAAATTTCAAATATTCAGATGGCATTATGCTATATAGGAAAATCTCAAAAATTGCTAGTCATGGATAATAGATCTAAATCCTCTCCAGCAATGAAACTGGTCAATTTGTGTGAAGTTTTTTGGATTGTCCTATTGATGTAATTGTATGAGGTGGTGTGTTAAAAGAAGTCTGGTATGTGTTAAAATTTATGAAGTCTCCTGCCACATTCAAAATGTTAAATTGATGTTTTGATTAAATATATGTTATTATGAATTCACCTTTTACCTTTCATTCCTTCTGAAAGGAAAGTATTATCCAGGTTCACAAAAGTGTGATATATTTTGGAAAATGGAAATAGCTAATCACTTAAACTCAATTTTGAGGAACCATATGTAAGGCACGTAGAATTTAATAGGAGTAGTTGAAATTACAGGGTGGGGAAAAAAAATCTCCAAATTAAAATGTCATAACTTTATTGTTACATTACATTTTCTGGGGTATTTTTTTTAATGAATACATAGATATCATATGGGAGTTTTTTTTGTCTTTTTTTTTCAGCAAACAGGTATTTTCAGCTGTTCTTCCTTTAAAATTTTTTAAATTGGAACAATCGATCACATGCTCAATCCACCTTCTTTACTGCTAAAATAATACAGATATGCAATGAATAAAGTTTTTTAACTGCCCTGTTTATCATGTCTATTTGGGATTTGTCTTATTTATCTCTTGATGTTGTCATTGAACTCAACCAGTGACCTTGGATTTTTCAAGTACACCCTCTCTTTCAGTTAGCTCTAGAGAATAAAGTTTAAAGGCTTGAGGTCTGGGGAGTGCATTGGCCAGATGTGCTTCATTTGATAAGAATATTCCATATTAATTTCCTTTGCACTGCATATCCTGCTGGTTGCATTGGTTCCTTTGCTGGAACCAACAGGAGCATTTTAAAAATATGTCAGACCGAGTCTCCCAACATCTTCCCAAGTGATATTCTTTACAGTTGGGATGATTGGGAAGCAAAAAGCATGCTCTCTCCCTCCCAAATACAAACATATGATTGATAAAGTGTTTGTTTATGGTGAAATCGATGAGAGGGATGACTTTTTTTCATTACCCCACAGCAGTGCAAGGATGAGTGCATTAGAAATGCACTTGGATTCTAAAGCTTGGATGAGGTCCCCCCTCATTGACCTTTCCTCAAGCAAATAAGGTTCTAATGCTTCCAAAGTTTCTCATATGATAGTCCTTGTACCTTCATTGATAGCTTGATGCACAATCACACACCAGATGAAAAAGGAAATTTTTTAAATGTTGTCTCTGAAAGAAAGAAGATACACAAGAAAGAGAAAATTGAAAGATCAGGTTTCAGTCTTTTGGTCTTGGAACACCAAATATGAAATGAAAGCACTTTGGATGATTTCAGATAGAACAGATGAAGGGCTTCAGTGTATTATGAATAAAGAATATCAATGGTAGCAAAATAAAGAAAAAATTGATGAAGTAAATGCTTCTAGAACTGATAGGGATCATATGCAGAAAACAAATTTCCTGTGAATTGACAAATTAACTACTAGGGGCAAAAATTTCTCTGGGCTTGGTGAGTAACAAGAAATGAAAACTGGAATTAAATAACACAAATATGAAAATATAAACGAAACATTTTCCATGTGAATTTGAAGGTGGTATATGCTGAAGCTGACTTACTATGTTCTGACTAGTGGTTGAGGAATTTGTGTACTAACATGGAGTTGTTGCCAAAAGTTAAGGAGTTCAACCCAGTTGGTCTCCATCACCAGATGCCCTGGTTGTTGGGCTGCAATCACCCCCAAATATCTTGACTTTCTTGCATTTGAAGATGAATTCTCCCTAAATAAATAATTGAAGGAAAAGTAGCTCCCTGATGTAGCTTCAAGCAATGATTGCATGTTCATTAATGAACTTATTTAGAAATGAAACCCTTTGTGGTATTCAATTTCAGTGCATATGTAATGGTTTTGAAAAAAATTCATTCAAATATTCCCTTCATGACTTGACTAAAGTGTAAGAAGTTCGCCATGTCTAACAATAGAAATAAATTGCTTAAACCAAGCTCCTCTTGGCTTT